GATTATAGAAGTTTATACACCGATGTAGAGATGGTGGGGTATGAGGAGACTATAGGAAGCCAAGTAGAGGAGAGGAAGAAAGATAAAAACTATATTTCCTTATATACGTAAAATAGCAGAAGCCAGGGGAGAATGGAAATATCACAAGAGAGTCATGGGGATACAGCATGAGGTGGTCAAAATGCAAAGGGTCCAAAAGAAATATATGGAAAGATTCTAGAATGTCATTGACAAGAGCTATGGCTATCCATGGAAACCATTCTTACAGCATTATCTACACAGTCATATTTCTTCTAAAAGAAACCTTCCCTTTTTCCCTTTGCACCCTAGAGTGGGAACTGCATGTCTATGTGCATGTTTCAGCACCCATATGAATCAGGTTGGAGGAATTTTTAGTAATAATTGCTAATGAATAACCTTAATATATTGGAGTACTTACTGTTGCTTATAAGATCTTTATGGTCTCTATGGTACTGTAGAAGAAAGTATATTAACTTATTGTCTTACCACACCTCCCCTCTGTCTCACTATGCAGCCATTTTGTCTTAGAGATGTAAGAAAGTTTTGTTCCTTGTTTTCTTAAATCAGTCTTAAATCCTGAAGTCCTCTGTCTTCTAAATGCTGATGCCGTGCTAATATAACTGGTAAATTTCAACAAAATCACTATCTGAATATGAGTGGGAACATGGCACTTTATGCGTCTTGCATTTCACAAAAACTACATGTTATCTGTTGCCAGGTAATTCGCTGCCATGCCAAATGCAATGTATGCCATTTATGAGCCACCAACTAGTTTTGCCTGTTACTTCCATATTCATATTGACAAATCTGACACTGTAGTGCCATTCTTTCCTTTATGAAAAATGTACAAAATAAACAGATTTTTGTGACGGGTTCAGAGAAATGTTTAATTACATTCATAAAAACACAAATGTTGGCTGTGAATGTCTAAATTAATATTTTGTGAACATCACCGAATGCTCAGCAAACATTTGCTTGAACATTCGTCCGACATTTGTGTGTTCTCCAAATATTACAAAACACATAAAACTCATTAACTATTTAAAACAAAAACAGTGTAGTGTGTAGATGGGCTGTGAGTAGGTTCACACTAATTATTATTAATTTTATACTTTTGGTTTAGCTGTTTTACAAATTACATTAACATATGCATGACAGAGAAATTGTGAATTCTTTGTTATATGAATTGATTTACCTAGTCCATTTTCATAAACATGTTAACATTGTCAATATCTAGTTAAATGTCAGAATTAAATAACAATTCAAGTTTACAACTTAAGGTGATGATTTCTACCCACATACAACTTGTCTTGGATTACACACAATCTGTTCTATAATAATTCTTAGATTTTCTTGGAATCTAGATGACATTCATTTTTCATGTCTAAAATATACCAATAACACAGTCTCTCAACATTACTCCTGAAATTCACTTGGCATATTAAGCCTTGAGACATCTATTAAGAATTTAAATGAATACATGAATATCATGTGAAAAGTATTGGATTTATTTTGCACACCATTAGCTAACATAATGATGTGGTCTCCCTTAATATTACTTTTTCCTATTTTAGGTGAATAAATGACATACCATTAAAAATTAGTTCACCATAAAAGTGCTCGAACAGCAACTACTAAGCTAGGATGAAGTGATTTAGATATGTTTCAGTATTAACATTTTACAAATAAAAAAATAAAAATAGAACCGCTAGATAATATAAAATAATTCTATGTAGCTTAATATTGTAATTGAATAACGTGTCACTGAGCTAACATTATAATTAAGGGCATGGTCACTAAGTTATTATCATGAATGTTAATTGAGTCCCTTTCTAAATAATTTGGACCCCTAGGGATTAAGAGCTCAAAGACAATGTGATAGCGACACAGCACTGTTGTGTCATCGGTGGGTTAGGTTAGCTTGGGCACCTGATTGTCCTTTGATAGGCAGCAACAACTGACACGTTTGTTCAAGTTTGGAAACTACTTTATGGGAGTTAATATAATGAAGATTGTGTGAGTTAAGGAGTTTTATACATTGGATTTATTCACAGGAAATTGTGGTAAACTGAAACATGAATTGTACAATTTAGACCAAAATAGCTGAATAGCCCTTTTTCTGACTTTGATTTTCAGCCTAGTTTTTTAAATTAGATTTTCAATACACCATGATACACTGTTTGTGGAACAAACTCTTAGATATGCTAAGGAATCACCTTGAAGATAACGACTGCAGTTCTAAAATCAAAATTGTCCTTGTTCTTTACCCCTGTAGCTTTTGAAAGTTAGAGTAACAATGTAAAACACTTTGCAAGAAATGCATTATTTTTTCCCCATTCTTTATTTAAGGTTAGACAGCAAGATATACAATAATCAGCATGTGTATAACACAGAATAATTATACATAATGTCACATATTCCCACAGTCCAATATTTTAACAATAAGAAACATATTGTCCCCTCAACAGTGAAAAGAAGAGAAAAACACTGCCGAACAGTGGGAAATATTCCCACAGTCTAATATTTTAAAATAAGAAACATATTGTCCCCTCAACAGTGAAAAGAAGAGAAAAACAGAGAGGGAACAGAGAGGGAAAGAGGGGAAAAAAGAAAAGGAGTAGCTTCAAGGATGGGAGTCAGAGGAGGAAATGGCCAGGGGTAGAGAGGAACTATAGACTTTGAAAAACATCCCTTGAAAGTCATGTTTCACTGAAAATGGGAGATTATTCCTAAAAAGTTTAAAGTGAGGAAAGAAGACAATGGCAAAACAGCTTAATATACTGTAGTTTTCTTGCCATGGGAGAACACTGAGCTAATGTTTTCGATATGTACAACTGATGGATAAAGCACAATTTCCTTTTAAAAACTGATTCTGAAGAATTCAGGAATATATGCTTAAATCAACAACCTGGACAATATGCAGAAACGATGATGAATATAATTAATGCTGTGACAAATTTACAGTATCGTGTTTCTTAATGAACTCACACATCTTAATTAATAAATGTTGAACTGAAAATTTGTAAAGTCAATGATGCATGCTTACTACCAGACAGGGTTATTCACTAATTTTCGAATTGTAGCAAATTAGTATCTGAATAGCAAAATTAAGGCTAATATAGCCCAGCTGGAACTGAATTGGAGAATTTTGCCAAATCAGCTATATTAGCCCCAGTTTTGCCATTTTAATTTTATATTGCGAGCATTTGGAAATAATTGTATAATTCAGCATAGTGTGCAGCCTTTAAATCATAGAAATTGATGGGCTTTGGCCTATATGCCATTTTGCCAAAACACTGTATAAAGACAGTTATTCTTCAAAGAGGGGCGAGTTGTGTATAGATCTGCCCACACTATACATCGCTCTGCTCAAAAATGGCAGAACTATCTGTATGGGTCACCTAATTTGCAAAGCTACCGGATATTAAAGTAAGAGGTTTCGGGGAGGAATACTGGCGCGCACACAAATCTTTGGATGGAAACTATCACACCAGCCACTCAATGTACATATACATATATATATATACATACATACAGTGGTACCTTGGTTTACAAACACCTCGGTTAACATAATTTTTGGTTTACAAATTAAATCCATTGAAAATAATGACTCGGTTTACAATTTTTTTTCGCAATACGAACCAAGTTTCCCCAGGATGCATTGCGCCTGGGAGGTTTATAGTGATGCCCCCATGCATGCTGGAGTCTGTGGGTAGTACGTGGCATCGAGTGTTAAGGTGTTAGAGCGGTTTTTGCATTGAGTTTTGGAGCCATTCTGGACATTTTTTTGCAGTGGTTTTGGGACTTTTTTGGTGCATTTCTCAAGTGGTGGAAAGGTAGGGAGCTGAGCTTCGTCATTGCATGCCTTCTACTGTGTGTTATGCATTGTGGGTTGATTTCCACGCCAACTCATTTTGACTTTTTTAATCCAGAACGGATTAATTGATTTTCAATGCATTCCTATGAGAAAACCACATTTCGGGTTTACAAATGTTTCCCAATACAAAACGCCCTGGAGAACGCATTAAATTCGTAAACCGAGATACCACTGTATATATATAATGCAGTATGGATTTGGAAGTCTAGAAGTCAAGATTACATTTGTTCTTATGGTTGGTTCTAATGATGAATACAATGGATGACAACAATATAAGTTAACTCCCAAGATGTAGATTTATACTACTGCCCTTTCTTGTAATAGACACAAAGCGCATTATTGTTCCAAAGCATCCTAACATCCATGTGAAGAACTGTAAATGGCTGATAGTACATTTTCACATCAACATGACAGATAGAATGCAGTAATGCTAGTACTTAAGATCTTTTTAAAACAGTCTTCTGTACCTTTAAATCCAACTTATATCCATTAGATTCTTTGTACCTGACAGGTTTTCTTTCTTAACTAAACTTGGAAAGGTGGAAAATTAACAAGGGGAATGGAAATTTTAGTCCAAAGGAGACAAATTATTAGTAATCAGCTAATTTCTATCTCCGCCATTCCTTTTTACTATTGGCAATTCTCCAGTATTAGTAAATATAAAATACATACAATGGTGGATCACACGTCTTGATGCATCTAAATAGAAACATAAAACTATATAGTGTAATATTGTCAATGTATATATAAATATGGAGAACGTAGAGATCATGTACTCACAAGCCTGGAGCCAAATGGAATCATATGGCTCCCATGAGTAGTGCAGTGGGACTATTAGATGGGATGTCCCTGTCCGTCTTCTAGGTATTCTTGCAGTTCCCAAGTAATATGAGGATAAAGCTGCATTGGATCAATGTAATTTCTTCCAGAAAAAAGCTTTTATTTAACATGTGCATTAAAACAAATGATAAAAAAATATAAAATCAAATGTAAAAACGTATTGCAAAAGAGCATCAGTCTAACAATTCCTTGCACTCCTCCTTGTGTTTATAACAAAGTATAAGAATCAATCTAACAATTCCTTGCACTCCTCCTTGTGTTTATAACAAAGTATAAGCATCAATCTAACAATTCCTTGCACTCCTCCTTGTGTTTATAAACACAAGGAGGAGTGCAAGGAATTGTTAGAATGATGCTTATACTTTGTTCTTATTCTCATTATTATAGTTCTTCTTTCTTCATAGGATGTTCACTTTAATTAATCCTGAATTCTTATACTGTCATCCTCTTTATTGTACAGTTATTGGCTGCCATTTACAATTGTAAAAATTGGTATATTACTATTATTTACATTAAAATCCCTTTTTCTTTATGAATTTAAATTTTAGGTATGAAAGATATTGCATTAATTTTATATATTGTGATTATTGATACTTATGGGAGGCCGGACTTTTAGGCTGATTTCACAGTGTTCCAGTGACGTCAGTTATGCGCCCAAGAAGCAACCCAGAAATAACGCACATGACGTTTGGAATGCATTGTGTGTTCCAACGCACGATAGCAAAACCCGGAAGTGGATGGAAACCACAGTTGAAAAGGACGCCAAGGAGCCTCTACATGTTATCACCGACTGAGGAAGTCCCTGGTACGGGGCGAAACGCGTATCGGACCTTAACAGACATTTCCAGTCACTTGGACTATTTACACTATATAGACTTTATAAGCCATTTGGCTATATTGGACTTCGCATTTTTTTTTTTTTTTTGCAGTCCATGTTTTTACATTCGATTTTATATTTCTTTTATCATTTGTTTTAATGCACATGTTAAATAAAAGCTTTTTTCTGGAAGAAATTACATCCATCTAATGCAGTTTTATCCTCATATTACTTGGGAACTGCAAGAATACCTAGAAGACGGACAGGGACATCCCATCTAATAGTCCCACTGCACTACTCATGGGAGCCATATGATTCCATTTGGCTCCAGGCTTGTGAGTACATGATCTCTATGTTCTCCATATTTATATATACATTGACAATATTACACTATATAGTTTTATGTTTCTATTTAGATGCATCAAGACGTGTGATCCACCATTGTATGTATTTTATCCTTGTATCTGTTAGAGTGGTTTAAGGGGTTATAGCATCTCTTGTTATCACACTTATTCACTTTTGTTCACTGTATTCGCTTTACATTCAATATTAGTAAATATATTTGCAGCAATATTAAATGTGTTAAAACAGGTACAAATTTAATGTAAAGCAAAAATCATTTAAAAGTGAACAAGGAAATTATTTAAATTGATTCAACAAGGAACATACCTGTGCTATATATAAATGTGCATTTTAATAAATGTTATGTAAAATTGCAATAATGTGCTATATAATATTCAAAGTGGTCAATGTGCGGAATAACTCCGGTTACATTTGCAGGAAGTCATCTGTTGACTGTTTATCTTTTTCTTTAGGTTGCTCTAAGAAGCATAAAAGATTAGTGCAACAGTATTTATGCGTTGCGCCATTTTTGTGTTTATATTTGTAGCAATATGTTTGCAGTCTAGACGCTGATTCTAACTGTTAAATCAGAGACATATAGTAGGATTGTGATTGGCTGAGTTATCTCAGTCATTTCCTAGTTGAAGAGAAAGTTATTGCAGAAAGCCTCAGAACTGAATGATATGCAACAAAACTATCAATATAGGGTCCCTCCAGGCACCAGCACAACTTTTATATACTATAGCTATTTGTAGTTTTACTCAATCTACAGATATATTTTTAAAAAAAAAACATGTTGCAGCATTCCTAATCAGAACATCCTTTCTATTGTGTCTTTATACTCCACTCCTCTAGACTATAAGCTTGTTTGAGCAGGATCATCATCTACCTATTGTTCCAGTACAGTTCTGTAATTTGTACTTGTCTAATTTATTGTTACATTTCCCCCTTTCACAATAATGTAAAGCACTGCAGAATAAGCAGGCGCTATATAAATCAGGAAGTATTACTTTACTGAGAGTGTAGTGGATGCATGGAATAGCCTTCCACCTGAAATGGTAGAGGTTAACACAGTAAAGGAGTTTAAGCATGCGTGGGATAGGCATAAGGCTAGGGACTAATGAAAGTATTTAGAAAATTGGGCAGACTAGATGGGCCAAATAGTTCTTATCTGCCGTCACATTCTATGTTTCTATGTTCTATGTTTCTATAAATATCAATAATAATAATAATAATAATAAATGTTCCCAGTATTCACAGTCTCAGCTCCGTCATTCCAAAATGCTTCCGTCATGCTGTTTCCCAAACAGAGGTACATGATGTCAGAGTTCTATAAGCCTATCTTTTCTGACCATCACTTTTAAGCAGCGTTTCTCCAGAAACACAATAAGCCACCAGGAAGCATACCTATCTGCAGTACTGCTAACATCTTTTCTAAGTAAAAAGCTGAATGAACTGAAAGTCCCATAAACCTTTGATCTCACCATAACTCAAGTTGTGCACAGAGATCTTTGAAATCAGTTAGCAAAACTCATCCCCTCCTCTTTACACTGTGCAAACCCGGGCAACTTTTTAGAGTGAAAGATTTATAGATGAAAGAGACACACATGGTAAATTATTGGGTAGGCCAGCTCCTGTTACATTTGTAATCTCTGCAGAAAGTGTTAAACAGCTAGTTCCCAATCTATACTTTGACACTTGTGAGGCAGTTCAGACTCCAGGCTAGAGGACATAGCTCAAAGCTGATGATCTAAAGTATGGGGGTTACTTGTACATGTAGTAACTTTAAATGTGAGTATTTTTTTAATCTCTGGTTATATTGGATTACTTGTTCTTCCATATTTTAAAGCTTTAACTATATAATGATTTTTTAAAAATGGGCTTGCAATAGCCTGGATAATCCCTTTATTTAGAGGTAAACATATTTTTTTATTTTCTTGATAACTTTTAATCCAAAGCATTTGAAATAAATCATAGCTATAGAGCAGGACTGTCCAACCTGCGGCCCCCCAGATGTTGCTGAACTACAACTCCCATGATTCTTTCAATTAAAAAGTTAGCCAGGGAATCATGGGAGTTGTAGTTCAGCAACATCCGGGGGACCGCAGGTTGGACAGCCCTGTTATAGAGAGTCCCTAGAGCCTAGATGAATCCAGCATTTACATTATAGTGAGATATGATGCTAGAACAGGGCACAGTACATATGTGAGCTTGGCTAATATCAGACTATTAAAGCAGAGAGAAATCAGCTGCTATTTATGGAAATGAATGCATAATCATTGCCTTCAGTGCACAATCTGCTCCTTTTATACACTTTGTGCTTTATTCAGGGATACATAAAAGTAAATGTAAAGGTAAGATGAGGCACTGCAACATATGTTATTTTACTTCAGATGCAGAGACTCATCATTCCAGGTAGTTGAAAACTAAAGGCATGTATAACGGATTACATTTACATTTATAGAATGCCCTTTTGTTTAGCTTGTGTGCCAATTTCTCCATAGTGAATTATTGGGGTCACATGGTTCTCAGCCACTCCAGTTTTTATGTTATAAATAGCAACAGTCTAAGAAATGATTATGATATCATTATTAACATAGCTTCAGCAAATTCTGCAGGACTGTACAAAGGGAATATAAAACAAAATAAAATAGCAATCAAATTAAGATAGACATAAACCTCCTGTCCCTCCCCTACACTTGCAAAACTTGGTGTCTACAATCTACAGAATAAAATACCTATATCTCATAAATCACAGTGACATACAATAAAACACATGTTACGTTTCAAATTATATGTACCTACATGGTGGGCGAGTCATATAGTCACACCCTTCTGGGACAAAATTAAAGCTTTATTTATTGTCTTAGACTATCTTATTTTATATTGCATGGGCCTTTTTTTCTGGGGCACCTGGTCTCTTTTACCGTCCAGTCCAATTGACAATTTTCCCACGCATTCTCAAAAATAGTTTGAGAAGATTACTTAGGCAGAAAGGAGAGCATGAGCCACAGGTTGACTGAAACCTAAAGTCCTCACTGCCCCTGAGGTCTGAGGACAAACGATTTATGGACAAGCTTTTATTCTGAACTCTCTAATCTGTTTACCAAAATCTGGTCTCCTTGGGGTTATTATAACACATAGGAGCAATGTTTCCTTTTTTTTTGCTTGTCTCGCAGTGGGTTCCCCATATTTTTCTTTTTTGATTCTAAAATCCTGTGTTTGTTCTAAAAGAAAGAAATCATGACTAACGACTTGTAAAGATTAAATCATTAATTCCATTCACATGTGAACATAACCTTATTAAACCGATAATGTGGAAAAAAGCATAGGAATATAATATGAAACATTAATTAGATCAGAAAAAAATAATGTTATTCCCTCCCACCTACACATCAATGAGTCTTATCCTCACATCAAACTCCCTGTAATGTGTTTGTCACAAAAAACAATGCCACTTTTTATCTGCACTAGAGCCAAGGGAAATTATGAAAAAATTCCTGTTTAGGCCACACACACTTATTTTGAAATAAAAAGCTGTATAGCACCAGTACAGTTTGAAAAAGGGGAGATTATAAATTTAAAACACTCATTTAGAAGACAATCTCAATATGAAAATACACAAGTATGTCCCGTCTAGGCCCTTACGATCTGCTGAAGACTTACCCCTATCTTCCGTCCGTACTCTGATGCTCGCCTTCAAGATTTCTCGAGGGCTGCACCGTTCCTGTGGAACTCGCTTCCCTCCTCCGTTAGATGCTCACCCAGTCTCCACTCCTTCAAAAAATCGTTAAAAACCCACTTCTTCATAAAAGCGTATCAATTAAACTGTTAATAGCTCCTGACTGATTCCTCTTCTGCAACTGTCACTAGTCTAATACCATCTATACCATCTTTACCCCACTCCCTCTAGCATGTAAGCTCATTGAGCAGGACCCTCAACCCCTCTGTTTCTGTGTGTCCAACTTGTCTGGTTACAACTACATATCTGTTCGTCCACCCATTGTAAAGCGCTGAGGAATTTGATGGCGCTATATAAATAACATAATAACATAATAATAATAATAATAATAATAGTATATGTCTGTTTGGTAAAATGGTTCTTATACCAAAGACAGAACTTAAGAAGGAATAATTATGATCAACAAAAAAGTCACAGTGCATACATTTAAAAAGATATTAACCCCTCTCCCCCTGACCTCCTCCTCCCAGC